TCTCAGTGGTTCCACCAGGCTCTATCGGACCAGCAAGCTTGGTCCCTCCCCCCCCTTATTTTTTCTCCAAATGATTTTGAGTTTTGTTCCACATTGTTCTCCCTCTCTATCCAGGATCACCTTCACAGATCCCTTTCCAAGTGGCTGACATTGGTAGCCGGGCACCATCTAGGTCTTCTGGTCTCATAGTCGTATAGGCTGAAGATCGGATGGTGTACCAGTCACTAGGACTAATTTTTTCCATGATTTTTTGGTTTATCTTCATTCTTCTTTGCTCTGGATGAGGAGAGACCCATTGTTGCATCTAGATGACAGCTTGCAAACTTTGAAGACCCCAGTCACTACTCGTCAAAGTAGGAGGTGGAACAATGTTTTGTGTACTATGTTATGCCAATTGAGCTTAATGCCCCCTGTGACTATTGTACCAAGCCCACAGGTTCAACTACTTGGTCCCTCTGGGTAGCTGGCTGTGACCAAGCAGTGACTATGACCTTGCCCTTTGTCAGCTATACTATACACCTGGGAATTCAGATCATACACATAAACCTATAGGATCACTGTCTGCCAACCCTATACATGTTCTTGGGTACACTCCCCACTTCATAGAGATAACCTACTACACTTCAGTCTGTCCACCCATCTATCTACCAATATACCCATGTTTGCCTTCATTGACAATGCCATACTGTAAGGGTTATCTTTGTTGTCTATATCTCCCACATACCTCTTTAAGTCTTTCTCTTCCTCAATGCCACTATAATAACAACTCACATTTGGTACATTGCCCTTCTTTCACCCAAATCAATATATATCTCTATCTAACAGTGTTCCCTCCCCTCCCCTCCCCTCCCACCCCTGGTAACCAACAAAGAACATGTCCTTCCATAGATAAACATTTCCTCGACTTATACAATAATGGACTAATACAATATTTGTCCTTTTGTGATTGACTTACTTCACTCAGCACAATGTCCTCCAAGTTCATCCATGTTATGCGGTGTTTTGCAGATTCTACATTATTCTTTAGGGTTGCATAGTATTCCATTGTGTGTATGTAC